TGTCTAGTCCATTGTCTGATCAAAGCAGTTGGTTTTGCCATCTCTGCTAGTTCAGACAATTTTAATATCCATTCCTCCACAGTCAGCACAGGGCTTAGCAAGTACAATCCTCACAGTAGTCATCATATAAAGTGACAACGTTTGTCCCTAATACCTAAAAAAACCTTCAGATTTAATATCTCTATCTTAAATATTCAGAAAACAACAACAACCAAGAAAGTCCAGTTGCCTTTTGAACAGCACCTTTGGGCCAGCCCTGACCTGGAAGATTGAGAATCGCCAGAGAAAGTGAGGACCATTAATGGGTGGGATGTGTTTACCCCAGAAGCTGTGGAAGCTCCATCACTGGAGCTTTTCAAGGCTTTTCAATGGTGAGGGCATGGTTTCGCTATGTTGCATCTGGCCCACAGGACGGCAATTTCACACCCCTGGCATAGAGTGACGTTGCTGCTGTCAACTTATATAACATCAAGGTTCCCTATTTTTTTTCCAGGTCTTTGTCCATTAGCCCACAAAGAAAACTGTTTGGTTTTCTTTCCATATTCACTTTAAGAATTTTCTGTATTAACATATGAATCCTACTCCAATATTTTCTTGCTTTATCATACATCTACCATAAATGGTAAAACTCACCTCTTTACATTTACATTTCCAACATTCATTTGAAATGCCTTTATACATTTTTGATAACTTAACTAGTGTTAAATACCAATGTACATCATCTTGTAAAACTTTTCTTTTAACTAATAGTTTAAAGTAAATTTTAATCTTTTATTCCACATATTCTCCCATTGTTCAAGCATTACATTATGCCAAAAATTCCTTGCCCACTGAATCATACAGTGTTTTACTTTTTCATTTTCCAGATTTAAATTCAATAATAATCTATAAACTTTAGCAATAATATGTTCGTCACTAACACACAGTAGGACTTCCAATTCATTTTTAACACAACTAAACCCATGATTCTTTTTGCCTAGATTAAATCTTTCTTTCAGTTGCATATGTGTGAACCAAAGGCAGACATGACCTTCTGATTCTAGCTCCTCCTTGGATCTGAGGGTAGGCTCCCCCAAAGTAAAATTAATTATTTCACCATAAGTCCACCAATTCAGCCTCATCACCATCTCTTTTCTAAAAAAGACTTCTTGTGGGGAAACCCAAAGTGGCACCTTCATAGAAAATCTTGTATGTATTCCAAACTCTCAAAATGGCACATCTAACAAAATGATTGTTGAAATCAACACTTTAACTTTGTCATACGACAAGTAACCTTGCCAGCCATACCTTAATCCATGGCCTTCCAGTAACCTCTTATTCTGAAGGTTCACCCATTCTTTTAGCCAAACCAAACAACAAGCGTCAAAGTACAATTTCACGTAAACCCAAACCCCCTCTTTCTTTGCAATAATTCACATCTTTTTTAATACCGTTCCAGAGAGGCACATAATTATTTTTGAACAATTTTGTGTTTGAGTTTGTTAACATAACCCCCAAATATTTCACCTTTTTCTCAATCCTAAAACCAAACTTTTTACTCAGTATATCACCATCCTGTGAGGTCATATTCTTAATCAACATTGATGTTTTCTGCTTGTTTATTTTAAAACCAGCCAAGGACCCAAACTCATTTCGTTTCCTCATCAAATATTCTATATTATGTTTTGGCTCTTGCAGAAATATCACCAAATGATCAGCAAAGGCCCTCAGTTTATAAAATTCTTTCTTAACATTTATACCTTTTATTTTCCCATATTGCCTAATATCTCTATTCAGAATTTCCAACAGCAGGATAAACCGCAGTGGAGACAATGGACATCTATTTCTTGTACCCATACAAATTTCACATGAATTAGTTAGATCGTCATTAATAATTTTTTGTGCTTCTTCTGATGTATAATCAGCCTTGACTCCTTTAATAAAATTCCCACTAAAGTCCATTTCTTGCAGGACTTTAAACATAAAGGCCAATTTAAGTTGTCAAAGGCTTTCTCAGCATCTAAGAATATTAAAACTATGATACTCTAAATATTCAATAATATTCAAAAACTACTCACATTATTCCTTAACAGTCTTTTTGGAAGAAAGCCAGCTTGATCATCATGAATATATATCTGTAAAACATTTTTAGTCTTTCTTCCAAAATCTCAGTGAATAGTTTATAATCCTCATTTATTAATGAGATTGGTCTGTAGTTCTTTATCAACATAGCATCCTGACCCTCCTTCAGAAGTCACACAATATTAGCTTCTGTCCAAGTTGGGGGTATCTTTCCCCCTTGTAATATAACATTCATTACATACTTTAATGGCTGCAGAAGTTCATCTTCAAAACATTTATAATATTGACGTGTAAGTCCATCTGGGCCAGGGGCTTTGCCTAATTTTATTTTTCTTAGGTGTCCACAGGTGACTTTTGCAATTCAATTTCTTTCTTTCTGATTGGATCAAATATCTTTTGGGTCTTTTCCAGAGATTTTTTTTATTCTCTAACTGATTATATTGTATAAAATAACCCCTCATAGCTGCCTTACTACACTTTCAGACAGGTCTGTCCCTTTGCTGAGATTATTATGAAAATATTCATGTAATTTCTTGTTACAGTCCTTTACAATTGCCTCCATGAGTCTACTAGCATTAAATTGTCCATCATTTCAAAGAATGTCTTTGATAATTTACCCTTTGATCCTCTTAATAGATGTTCTATCCCAAAGAGGAGAGTGGTGAAGAAAAGAGGAGAGGAGAGAAGAGGAAGAAGAGGAAAGTAGGGAAGAAAGAGGAGAAAGGGAGAAAGAAGGTAGAGAAGAAGGAGTGTGGATACAGTGAAAGGGGAAATGGGCGAGCAAAACCAAAAGTCATGTGTATGTATTTATTTCATTTTATTAAAAGTATCTTATATATAAGAATGTAAAAAGAATGTATGTTAACATCTGATAAATATCACGGTATATGTATGGGGGAGAGTTTGGAAAAAAATAAATAAATAAACAAAGATGTTCTATCCCAAAGTCACACCATTCCAATCCCCCAACATAAGCCAATTTTCATATGAAAATGGTGAGAGTTGGTCCATAAGATACTCAAAGAAATTGCTTTTTCCCCCTCATTTGGCACAAAAAGACCAATCACTATTGGTTTTGTTCCATTAAATTCAATTTCCACCATTACAAATCTACCATATTCATCTGATCATAGTGGCCTAGGTTTAAATTGGGGTTTTATATAAAAAAAACACTCCATTCAACTTTTTTAGCCCAGCAGATATAAATTCCTCCCCATGTCTTTTATTTATTAAATATTTCTGGACTTGTTTTCAATATGTGTTTCTTGAAGAAACATTATATCAGCATTAAGTTTTCAAAAATAGTGAAATACCTTTTTACACTTAGATGGGGTTTTCGAGAAGAGATTGGACAGCCATTTGTCTCTATAGGGTCTCCAGCCCTGGGCAGAACTTGGAAGAGAAGACCTCCAAGGTCTCTTCCAACCCCATTGTTCTATGTTCTATGATTGCTCTTGGTTATCTGCAACTGACAATAGGTCTGTAATTATACAATGGAAGCTGCACAATGTGGATAGTGCTGATATTCAGAGGTCTCCAGGGACAGGTCATGGTTCCAGAGACTTAAATCTGGCCCTTCTTTCTTTGATGCCTACTTTCCAAGAAAAATAAGACTTTAATCCCAGTGCAACAATGCTGTAAGTGTATTAGAAATGGCAGCTGCAACTTATGGAATATTGTTGCTTGGCAAGGACCACTTCTTCTCGTTTACAGTAAACATCTTCCTCTTATCCAGATGAAAACATCTTACTGACAGCTCATGAATGATAAATAAAACCTTGTTGTCTTTCCTTTTCTATTGACGCTGTGACTC